TAGGTACAGGGTATTATAACAGACACAATTCAACTATCCAGTGGAGCTTACACACAATAAAACAAACAATTACCACGGAATGGGATAAAGAAGTTCCAAGACCTATGTAAACATAAAAGTTGAATCCCCTCACCTAGCCTTCAAAGGATTCAGGAAGAATTCTTTAAAAAAAAAAAAAAAGTGATGAGTGGGACTGAGTAGGAATTAACCAAGAACATGGCCCAAGAAACCACATATTCAAAGCCCCAGAAGTAAGAAACCTAAGTTCTTTCCGAACAGTAGGGCTGGCGTGCAGAGTACAAAGACAGCATGGTGAGACAAGAACCATCAGATCAACATGCACCAGATCAAAGAGGGCTTGGGAACCATTGTAAAGAGTTTGCACTTTAACCTACCAGCAATGTGAAACAGGTCAAGTGTTTTAAACCTGAGTTTGCTTTTCAGAAAGATCACTTAAGCTGCAATATGTTGGAGAGGAATAAAACTTGATCATTGAGGCTATTACAGTACTATAGGTGAAAGGTAACCAAAAAAAAAAAAAAAAACTCACTGCCATTAAGTAGATTCTGACTCATAGTGACCCCCACTGTGTTTCTGAGGCTATAAATCTTTGCAGAAATAGATTGTCCCATCTTCCTTCTGTGGAGCAGCTGGTGGGTCTGAACTGCCAACCTTCTGGTTAGCAGTCAAATGCCTTAGCCATGACACCACCAAATGATGCTTAAATTTACTGAACTCTCTCATTACTTATTTCTGGGCTTCTCCATCTAATGGATGTCTCCCCTACAACTCTTTAAACTCTCTAAGGACATGAACCACATCTATGTATTTACAACCATCTAATGCTTAGCACAGTGTGTGCCATACAAGATGCCCTTAATAAAAATACGATGACTTTGCCTACATGCTTCCTGATTTTGATCCTGAATTGTACCTTGTTACTTCCTTAATAAATCACTTAACTGTAAAAAAATATATATAAATTTTAAAAATATGATGAATGGCAGCTACAGTCAGTACAGCAATAATGAAATGGACATGAGAGCTATTTTAGAGGTACAACAGACAGAATTCAATGTTCAACACACCAAGTTAATAAGAATGCAACATGGATTTTTATATAAGTTTTACACAAAGGTACTCCAAAGATAAAGGAAAAAATTAGCATTTGGAACACTAGAAGCTCTCTACGTGAAGAATGGGCTCTATTATTATGGTACTGACACCCAATCAAGTCATGAATACATTCAGCTTCTAAAGCATTAAATGAATGACTCTACACATAACGCAAACGAACAAAAAAAAAACTCACTGCCATCAAGTTGATTCTGACTCATAGCAACCTCTTTGGGCTTCTGAGGCAAAGTAGATTGCCTAGTCTTCCTTCTGCGTAGTGGCTGGTGGGTTTGAACTGCCAACCTTCTGGTTACCAGTCAAATGCCTTAGATACTATGCCACCAGAGCTCCTAAATAGAATTTATTAACTATAGGTTTGGGGAAGGAAAAACTACTTCAGAATTTCACGTTGGCCTTGAGCTGGGTCAAATTTTAAGAAAACTTAATGGTTCGATAAGTAGCTATTCAAACAAAGAAGCAACATGCTAAAAGTGGTTGAAATACTATAGTGTGAAAGTTGGATGAAGACAGAGAAAAAAATCCAGACAGGAAAACCAAATACGACGCTACTGCACTACAGTGGGCAAACAGTGATAGGAAGCTAGCTACAAGGATGAGGATTTTCAAAGAGAAAGAAAATTACGAGATACTATAAAGGAAGCACAATAAATCATGGAGTTTGATGAAATACATAAGGCCAGAGACAAGAAGAAGAACACAAATGACTATTACTTTCCAAACCAAATGATTAAGAGAGAGGGAGGAGACAAAGGTGGGAAGGGAAAGGAGGAAGGAAATATAAATGTGAGAATATCAGTGAGGAAGAGAGCTATAATCTGGTCTCCAAGAAAATACAATAACTCAGAAAAGAACAATAAAAAGGCACCAGAGAAGTCAACATAAAGGGGACCACGTGAACACCAACAAGGCAGCTACCCTTTGCCACACTCTGTAAACCCAGACGTATGCAAGCATTCACGAAATGTGGCTCGGCCTACTGCTATTTTGCTTTTTGGCTTTTATATTTTAGCAGTTAAAAATTTCAGAATTGGCGAAAAATAACCTGGCTTCCTAATCCAGAAATGCAGAGAAGTCTAGCTCGTTACCATCTTGGTGATTTTCATTTGGTGGGTATTTGGGTCCTGCTGGCAGCTCCCTCAAGATCACAGAGCGACTGATCTTGGAGCTCCTGATTCCTAGTACAGTACTCACCACTGTGGGAGCTCTGGTAGCGTAGTGCCTAAGGCACTTGACTGCTAACCAGAAGGCTGGCGGTTCAAACCCACCAGCCACTCCTCGGAAGGAAGATGG